CAGAAGGTTGGCTGAACTCTGAAGAGTGAAGACAGAAATTGGTGGGGTTCTCGAGACGATTATGGGCACAGTTTTTTTTTAAATATTTCCTTACCATTTATCTCCTCCTCCAAATCAGGAATGATTGTTGTGTTAATTAAAAATTCTGTATTTTAAAAGGGTAATGCTCAGTAGATTCGGAATTTTAAAAAGGTTGTTGTTTAAATTATTTATAAAAATATTGGTAAAATTGCAATTAATATCATGACTTTTAGCGAGATTGTAAATTAATCACACCTTTTTAACTTTTACATAATATATCACGCTCTTCAATTCTTTACAAAACGATACATGCGCTGCCCCAACTCATCTGACGTGGCACTCAAAATGCCAACGCACCTGCTGATACATGCGCTGCCCCAACTCATCTGACATGGCACTCAAAATGCCAACGCACCTACTGACGTGTATTTTACAGACGATTTTTTTTTGCTTAATTAATCACAACCTTTTAACTTTTGCATAATATATCACGCCCTTAAATTTTTTTGCAAAACGATACATGGTTTAAGAGATGGTTTTTTTTCATCTCATCCCTGGATGAGATGAGGGAGAGATTTTGAAACTCTTGGGGATATATTAGGCTAGGGCTGGAGAGAAAACATATTACTGAGATTTTTATCTTTTTTTTTTCCATCTCAAAACTCATTCTCTCAACAACTTTCACTTGGTTTTCTTTGGATTTTGCTTGGATTCGAGTATTGGAGATTGTGGCACTCCATAACGAACACGATTTGGTTTGTAATTCGATTTTATTCTCGACTTGGATTAATAATAATTTTCTTTCATTTGATTATGGAAGTGATTTATTATGTTGAATCTTTTGTTGGGATTGATATCAATATGTGTGGCTAAATCGCTTCGTTAGGGATAGAAGATATTTGTTTTGGTTCGATTGAGATTCGTGTGTACGTGTTTGTCGTTCAATCTATTCGAGTTGTGTTGAATCTAGGGTTAGATGTTTGATCATCATTTTAATCTAGTTAATCAATCTGTAGAACCAGAAGGGGAGAAATTGATTGATCTCGGTTCGTTTAGAATAGGCTTGTTCGTTAATAGATTGTCTATATGTTAATTGTTTGATAATTGATCGTTACGAAGAGTTATTGAGAACAAGCCTCTAAACGAGTATGTTATTTGATCTCTTAACCGAGCGGTTGCGTGCTAATTGATTGCTTGAGAACCATAAACGAATATCTCCGACTCCCTAACTCACCAATCATTATTTGAACTCCATTTGGAATTTGAAGTGTGTCTTGCTTTATTTTTAGAATTTGTAGTTGATAATCAAAACAAAAAACAATTGAATTAGAGTGTTTCAGATTTGTTTTCTCTTTTTGTATGATTGAATACACGTGCAAAGTAATTCGACTAACCTTCCTTGAGAGACGACCCGGTGTTTGAATCTTTTCGTGTTCCAAAATCTCCAGCTCTAGCCTAATATATCCTCAAGGGTTCCAAAATTTCCCCCTCATCTCGTCCAGGGATGAGATGGAAAAAAAATCATCTGTTAAATACACGTCATACTAGTTGGGGCAGCAGATGGAAACGTGTATCGTTTTGTAAAAAAAAAATTAAAGGCGTGATATATCATGCAAAAGTTAAAAGGTTGTGATTAATTATGCAAAAAAATCGTCTGTTAAATACACATCAGCAGGTGCGTTGGCATTTTGAGTGTCACGTCAGACGAGTTGGGGCAGCGCATGTATCGTTTTGCAAAGAATTGAAGGTCGTGATATATTATGCAAAAGTTAACAGGTTGTGATTAATTTGCAATCTCGATAAAGGTCATGATATTAGCCGCAATTTTGCCAAAAATATTTGACCAAAGAAATAAGTCATTTGACATCTCTACTATACATATAAGCAAACAATGGGGGGCAATTCTCGGACTGACACGTGTCCTTTTTGGACGAAAAAGTGCTTCTTTTTACCCTTTAATTACAGCTTTGCCATTGGCTGTTTTAAGGCTTTGAATTACCTTTTTCACCTTGTGAGGTTGACACGTGGCGCTGTGAAGGCCAACCATTTTTTTTATGATCTTAAAAGGACGTTTGCACCAGGATTTCCTCCCCGAAAATCTGTCCTTTTGCGTCTTCAAAGATGGAGATCTTTTTTCTTCCAGAAATCTCGCACACGCAATCCCTCTCCAACCCTAATTACCCCACACCCACACTCTTGCATCTTCATCTTCCCCTAGCCACTGACACCATAATCACTCTCTCCACTCACTTTTCAAAAAACCTAATCGCCCAAAAATTTAATCTTGCTGCGGTGGAAGCTGGGGAGCTGTTGAGAAATTATGGGGCAATTTTTTTCCTGCGCTCCTCACGACAAAGGTTCAGGGAAAGGGAGGCGGCGACGTACGCAAATCGAACGGCGGAGTCGGAGTG